ACCATTTTCATAATTTCTGCATGTAGTTGGCTAGACTGTGGGAACCCTAGTACCAAGACAAAGTACAAATATCAACCGTTTCATACATTGAAGCAAATATCTAAATAATAGGAAGCCTAAATAATTTGCTTTTCTCACTGGTATCTCTCCGAGGCATCACGAAGGATAGATCGAACAAAGTGAATTAACGTGGTGGAAGACATCAGCTTGATTACAAAGCCACAATCAATATAAGCCAGCTTTCATCTACATCTTCTGTCCGCAACTCTTGCATCCCTTACCCTATCCACAATCAGGCCAATTATTATCTGCCGTCTCGAAGTAATCGTATTTACATGTCAAACATACATGAATATAAGAGGTCTAATGTGACAAGACTGATGGCGTCTTTACAACGATGATTGTCATATATTCTGCTTTCTGCAATTCATTGAGATAGAAGATTCTGGACACTGTTGGCTCTTGTTACGACGATATATTTAAGTATCAGTTTAAATGATCCGTAATAAATACACTTACTATTTTCATACAGAAAATTGTGCTGGATAGCGTCTGCAGGACCTAAGCCAAGTTCAATTAAAGGTGCAATTAAATCTAACGAGGAATAACGAAGGGGTTTGATTGTGGTGGTGTCTGTTGAATGATGCATTGTGGTGGCCCAGAGCCTATAGTCAGACAAATCATGCAAAACTGTAATACTGACACTCAGACATGGTAATGTCATCTCCTCGGAAAGCAGGCAGCGTTATACCGCCGACATGCTGCTTCTACTGCTGCACCAGAACACCCTTCACTGTGTAGTGATGGATGGTGAAAGATGTGCAAGGTTCCAAATGTATGAATAAATAAAACAGAAATGAAAAGGGGAATATAAAGGATTTAGCAGGACGATTGCTGCAAGTCACTTACGTTTAGTCTCCTTCTTTTCAACCAGGAGGCTTGGTGTAAGGAGACACAAGAGGGAATAAATCAGCTTCGGTTAATTACTCTCCGCATCTCCTCGCTGGATCTCACGGAAGGCAGACACGAACGTCCTAGACATCTATTTACAGATGAATGCAAGGTGCATTGTACAGCATGTTTAGATCATATTTAATACTTACACTTCGGGGATAATTTACATCGAAACGGACACTTCTCAGCTAGGATTAGAGGTTTGGGTATGTTGTCACAAATCAATCAGTCAATCTATATTACAATCTGTGCCAAGGCCCACAAACCTATTTGCCCACAAGCCCACAAACCCCCAGCCCTAGCCCCAGTCCCCAGCTTCCAGCCCCCAGCCTCCAGCCGCTAGCCCCAAGCCTACTGAAAATGCCCCTTCATAGATGTAAACAAAGACCCGTGAAGATGCGGAGTAGAAGAGGTCTTCAGCAACCCATGCTTGTCGTAAGAGGCGACTAACGGGATCGGGTGGTCAGTTTCGCTGACTTGGTTGACACATGTCATCGGTTCCCAATTGCGCAGATCGATGATCATGCTGTTGATCACTGGATTGTCTTGTCCAGACTCGATTATTTACAAACCGCCGCCATATAGCTGGAATATTGCTGAGTGCGGCGTAAAACTAAACTCACTCACTCTAAACAAATAGCACATCCCAAACTTGTTTGGTGAGTATCACCCATCGTCATCGCCGTGACAAAAGAACACTTACAGTTTAGATAGTGCATTTATATCTAACGTTCAGTCTTTGTTAAGTGGCATACTTGTGTTACTGACCCGAATAAAATCCTCATCAAAAGTTTATATTAACGATAACCAGTCTATGTTTTCCCCATTAAACAGAGTTGTAAGAAACCATACAAACACGGCATGGCGATTTAGACATTATCAAAACTCATATAAAAATTGTATCAGACAAAACGAAATAATATTGATCTCCTTAGGAAAACTATGTACACACCATGTCTAACTGACTTGCTCTATGAAGAGATACATTTGTTTTTCAAAGCACGTCTCTGCGTCAATACGTGATTTTGTAGGAAGAAAATGTTACTAACAATATGTGACCACAATCTCAAGCCATTTTGTACCTACCAAATCTGTGTGGTGCTTGTTTGCTTGTCATATCCTGGACCTGTCGCTCAATGTTTCGTAAATATATATCGACTCGTGAAATATTCATCACAACAGAAGATTGTATTCATATTCTTGCGGCACTTATGGCGTTTTCTCATGTCAACAGAAAACATTGAAAGTCAGCTCTGAGATTTAAAGGACTGGTGGCTGGAGATGAATTATTAGTTCATCATTAAAAACGGACTCGAAGCGTCAGCATACCCTTTTAAAGACATTTTTTCTGATTTCACATGATTTAATATTATCGGTAATCACTTGCGATATTTCCAAGCATCAGATCTGAACAGTCTCCCATTGCTCCCCTAGTTTATCGTGAGGAACAGGCTTTGGAAATCCATTAAGTATCTTATACAATATACTACACGTTCATCCCTCGGTGTATGAAGTAGTGTTCTGATGGTATTGCCTGTAATTTCATCTATGACCAATTACTTAGGGAAATCTTATTATTAACGAGTAGAGGTAATACTGTATATCGACTGGAAAATATTTTAGATAAAAGAAAAACCCATTTGAAATAACATTAACCTCAAAATTACGACGAATGAAATTGGAAAACAAAATATTTCAAGAAAGTTAATGCTGTGGAACACAATTTTGATGAATTATATTATCACATAATTCACGGTATGTTGATCTCATGTAGAGTTAAATGCACTGAGCATGGAGAAAACCAAACCAAATGCAAGTTTGGAAGTAGAATCTAGAAACTTTCGGAAACTTATTCACTGGAAGAAGCAACACCCACTGAGTTACTGATTTTTTTAAAGGTATTAATGTGCTAAATTTAACTGAAAATGAAGTTTTCTATGTCTAGAGGAAATGTAAGCATTTAACTTTTACTTAAAACATCATAATGTGACTTCAAAGAGGGTAATATATCAATTTCACAGAAACACAAAAGTGTTTTACGAAAAGATGAAAACCCAAAGAGCATCATAAAACTTGGAGCCCCCTTCGTTTTTAAATGCCTTATATAATGTTAGAGTTTCAACAATAACAACTAGAATGTTTAGAAAATATTATTTCGAATGATAAATGATGGCGAATGGGTGTAAGACGGTATCATTACAAAGTTAACAAGTAACAACCTATCATATAGTAGAACACACTGAAGGTTTTAAACTCTCGGTTTACTACTTCTAAGTGACTTTAAGAAAGCTTCGATTCAGTAGACACAATATATTTAATAAATATTTTGATAGTTTTCAATTTTGGACCAATTATTTGGCTTTTGATGAAATGGTTTGTACAGCGTCGTCGGTGAATTTGCCTCACTATCTTTCAAATAAAGGAAGAGGAAGCCTCCAAGGAGATTCCGTAGCTCCTCACTTTTTCTTAATGTCGGGTGTACTAGTAATGATAAGAAAACAAGGGAATAAATCTAGGATATATGGCGTAAATATTGGCTCATTAAGCTGATGATACAACGCTTCCATTAGACGGAATTAAACATGTCTGCTTGTGTTCCCTGCATCATACATCTGGACCTGCATATGATGTATGTATGCGAACTCTCTGTATATAACACCGTTGAAAAACACATGCAGAAAAATGTTAACCCTCTGGCACATGACTGTCTGAAAATGGGAACGAAGTAATATGTGAATAAATTTGACACTGACCAATACCTCAAGCCAAAGTGAACCCCGGTTTGTTTTTTTTACTTCCGTGTCCAAAACATGTGTGAAGGATAATATGTGATTGCTTCAGTCGAGAGATGCACAGACGCAGCCTAAGAAATAACACAAAGTGATATAGCTGGTGTATATCTAAACTGTAGCTAAAATGGACCAACATACCACATGTCAGCGCAAAAGATCCAAACGTAGATTAGACTGGTAGCAAGAAGGTCTGGTGATCAATGAAGAATACAAGTGACAGGTTCAATTACAGCCATGATATGAATGCTTTCCGGGCTGCCAGATCGATGAGGTATAACTGATTGATGACTGATTCTGTTGTGTGCATGCTTCCTGAGGGGCACATTCTGACACCGGTTGCATATGAATTGCAGGGAATTTTTGTCGTAATCACCACCTCTATCACTGAAGAAAGGGCAATAGCATCTTTCTATTCAACCGCAAATGTATCGCACAATTTCATTCTGGGAATGTAAGTTATTTGCGAGATGCTTCGATGCTGTTCCTTGCCGATGTCCTGCGTTAACAAGTGTCATCAAGCGACCTCGTGATATCACTTCCAGGAACTGCTGTACTTCGGACGAGCTGGACGTCAAATGATATGAGCTTTAGGTCGAAGCAGAGAATATGAAAAGAGACATTTATGTACATCACAAGTTTATCTGAGTAAAAATGTGCCTCGTTAAAAATGAAAGAATGTTCCTCATCAAATTAAAGGTCATTACAAAATCCTTTGTAAGCAATCGATTTTTACTATCAATTACAATAACTATTTTAAACAAAGGGCTCTTTTCCTCACAGTTTTGAATACAGAACACATATTTTCGAATGTCAATTACAATCTCGACTATCAAATAACAAATGCTCTCGAAAGAGTTTAAGCTTGTTCAGTGCAATATGTTTCGCTTTTCGTAAAATATAATTTGCAAGGACACAATTTAATCTTCAATACCCAATACAAATGATAGAATACGGTCATTGCATGGCAAGAGATAATAAACCGTAAATAACTGCAAAAGACTTTTTTATCAGCACAAACGTGATCTTTTCTCCCTACTGAGGAGATTTGTATAAAAAACACTTATTTTTCCTAAAGGAATGTTAAAAAAATCATAATGTTTATTTCAGGAAAGGATGGATCACAAAATTCCGCCCCGCACTTAACTCACGATTTCATGCGAGCTTGGAGAATGCATTTATAATTTTGTTGAATAGACAGCTTAATTATGTTCAAGAATCAATGTTCAGGAATCATAATCTTTGTTTCAGGAGAGGATGGATCAAAATATTCCGATCCGCGCCCCACCCACAGCACCGACCAACAGGAGAAACTTGACCTTCCAAGATGTGCATGTGTCAGGCGTCATCACAATCATTCTGGAAGTGGCATTGTTGATAGAAAACCTTCTCCCCCTGTTAGTGATTCTTTGGTGGAAGAGACCAGGAGAGAGAACTGTGTGCGACAAACTTATTACAGCTCTGTGTGTGACGTTCATATTTTCAGCGCTCGTTCCAGCACCGCTTGGATTAGTTTCGTATTTTTATGGGAGTTGGTACGGCGGGAAGGGAACTTGCGAGTGTTATCAAGTGACGTCTACTTGGTGTACATTATCTTCAATGGCGCTGGTCACCTACATGTGTATAGATCGCCACCAGACATTGTGTCCTTGCCCTAGCTGCAAGAACTCGGAAGACTGTCGAGAAAACGTTGGAATTGTGGTTATGTTGATCTACACGGTGACCTTGGCCATAGCAACGTTACCCGTCATAGGCTTGGGTCCTGAAATAATGAAAGGAAACACAACGTGTGACTCATGGATAGTACTTACGCCTTCTTCCGGACGTCGACAGTGGTATTTTATTTCGTTTTTGATATTTGGGTTCCTCAACATACTTTTATCGACGTGTTCAAGTATTTTCATTTTCGTGTTGCTGCACAAACCGGATTTAGCTGACAGGATGAAAAAGACACGGATCCCCGTAGAAGAAGGCGTTTCTCAGTTGCTACGTCATCAACGTCCGGAAGAAAATACGTCATGGATGATAGTATCGCTCGTGCTCCTCGTGCAGCTCACGTGGATCCCATTGTTGGTAAGATTAAGTACCATCTGCACATGTATGTAGAGAGGATCACTCCAGCAGGTTTGGCTTGACATGGAGATGAAAAAATGTTACTCTATGAGAGAAATGAATTATGCTTGACTGTGTTACAGAGCACATAAAAGGTTTCACTGTAGGAATGTGTGAATTGTATTTGACGCCGCTTTTACCACTATCTCAGTTAAATCACGGCGGGTCTGCCTTGAGCACTATCTTGGTTGTGATAGAGAGTCCACACTGGTGTAAGGGTATAAACGTTTGTCTTTTAGTGAGCAGGCGCGCTGGGAAGATTGTTAAGGAACGTTGCACCTAGCTGCGTGCAAAGTGGAACTGTTTATAAAACGTCAATAGAGAAAAGAGCCAGTCTGACTTAGCCTCCGAAACTGATTCCATAGGGCGCAAAAGCCAGTATATCTATGTCAAGTAAAAGTCAAGGGAAACTAGTAATGACACCGGGACTGGTGTTCATAAAAACAAGTATATGATTCTAAACGAAGACGACCATGTATTCCGGCACCTCAACGGTGTGATTATCAATTATGTTCTTGAGCGGTCACCAACTCAATGATGAATTCGCGATGTGGCCACTTAAAATTCCTATGGGGACCTTTTAAGATCTGAAAACCTACACAAAACATTGTAAACAGCGCATGCAGGTGCATAAACGACATCATATGAGAGACTCGAATCCACTCGACGAAAATGGTAATTTTTTTAACTTTTTGAAAAGCCTCTCTCTCTCTCTCTCTCTCTCTCTCTCTCTCTCTCTCTCTCTCTCTCTCTCTCTCTCTCTCTCTCTCTCTCTCTCTCTCTCTCTCTCTCTCTCTCTCTCTCTCTCTCTCTCTCTCTCTCTCTCTCTCTCTCTCTCTCTCTCTCTCTCTCTCTCTCCTGCCCCTCTCACACATCTCACTGTCTCCCCCACCTTACTCCTCTGTCGAATCGTTATGTGCTCATAAAAATAGTTGGGCCAGTAGTCTGAAGATCTTGTAAGACAAGCTTTTGTAAGACAAGGCTATCTCAGATATGTTAAATTGTTACTTTCTGAAGATTTTTTGCTCATCGATGGCTTTAAATTACGAAGCTAAACGCTGAGGTAGCGTTGCCAAAACTGTCACAATAGTGTGGAAATAGACAGATCAACGGTGTGGAAATATACAGATGATCCCATGGCAAGTTCGCATAATATTACTGTTTTTATTCAGTCTCGCAGAAAACTTGCTGGGGAAGTCCCATCAATTTATTTCTTCATTACTCAGACATCTTGCTAAAAAGGTTCTGTTTGGGCTGGAACTCAAGCACGGTGGCACGCTGTGTCACGCCGTGTCACGCCTCACTCACACTAATCCACATGTGACGTCCGTTTGCATGTTTAATCGTGAGGACCCTACAAACCAGTGTTGACTATTATGTAGCCATCGGCTACTATAACAACAAATAAATCATCAAGCCTGCCCATCCCGTTCGGTTTGTAGCTTCTCCACAACATACGTACTGTACTCTGGAAGAAGCCAATAGTACCCACCATGATTAAGCTCTGATTTGTGTGTCTGGTTTTTTTAAATTATTATTTCATTTTGGGGTGGAAGAGTGGGTTCTTGTTTTTGTTTCCTTGTTGATTTACTTTGTGTTGTTTTTTTCCTTTTTGGGGGTGAGGGATATTGTTTTCTTTTTCTTTTCTTTTCTTGTGAAATTAGAAATTTGTATTTCTTTGTTAGGAAATAGATTTCGACAGCAGAAATAACATTCATTCACACTGGTAACATAAGAGAAGCCCATATCTTGTGTTTATATATGGTGAAATACTGATAAAAGTGGCAGAAAAAACATACTCACGACTTACTCATTCTGAGACTACACAATTTTGCACCAAATATTTCTGACAAACCAACAGAATCTATATCCATTATCACTTATAGAGCCAACTAACCGCGACCATAACAAAGTTTAAAAAAGGGTTTCTTCTTCTTTTCTACTGGCTCTATTTGTGGAGAATCTTGTCATTATGTAGCGTAAATCCAAATAATGGAATCAACTACTATTTCCTGTCATTTACAGGCCAAGTAGACTATTACGACATCGACGACTTTGATGGCGCCTATCAAAGTTTGCTTGAAGCGTGGATTCTTGTGGAAATCTGATTTACCCTGAGGCCATATTAGGAGTTCCTATTAAGCGCGTTCGATATCTCACAAAGAGGATTTGCCATTTTTTTTATTCAAACAGAATTTTGACAGAGTAAATATCTGAAGGGTAAAGACGGTTCTTGTGTCGCTCTTATACTGTACACTAGCGCTCTATACCTGGGATAGTGAGGTTGATGAACCCTACCGAGCAAATGAAAGTATCACCCATTTGTGATGATGGTTAAAATGGAACAAGTAACAGTTTCGTCAGTGGTGATATACGTGACTTGTTTTTCTTTCTTTGCTGTTTAAACCCCCTCCCCCCAACCCCCAACAACACCCCACACCACCCAATCAACAATAGTCTAGCTATATGGCAGCGGTCTGAAAATAATCGAGTCTGGACCAGACAATCCAGTGATCAACATCATGAGCATCGATCTACGCAATTGAGATACGATGACATGCATCAACCAAGTGAACGAGCCTGACCAACCGATCCCATTAGTCGGCACTTACGACAAGCATGAGTTACTGAAGACCAATTCTGACCCGGATCTCCTCGGGTCTCTAGGTCATGGAGACATTGCATATTTATATTGAAATATAAATTGATGCTGGATTTAGGTTTTCAGGCAGAGTCATAAAAATATGACAGTCATTATGGGAGGCTGTTATTTTCAGTACATTACATCATCAGAAATTTCCGCCCGGTTGTAAAACATAATGGGTTCGTCAGTTAGTGAAAATTGTTTCTCATCACGAACTAATCTTTAAAATGACCTCGTTACCAGGAATTTAAAACGAAATTTGTCAGTCAACAGATTGGACCAAAGTCGTTATTAATCACTCGAGGAAAAGATACGATGGTTACCGAGCAATGTTGACATTCACTGAACAAATATTAAAACAGGATTTTCTAACATACAAAGGCAAAACATATTCCTTCAACTAAAGAAGCACATGGAATTTTTCCATTTTTGTTTATGCACACATCATCAGGAACATCGAGTGCACAATCAGACATCAACACCACACTGCGAGTGTATAATAACGAGCATATTAACGACCATAAACATAGGACACCGATCATATCACAAATGTAAAGACGATAGCGTTGACGTTGAAGTATAACGGAACAGTTTATTTTTCCCAAATGATACAAGTAATTCAATGCGCTATGTCAATATCGAAATGTTTCTTGCAATCATTTTGTAACGTTCTATTTCCATATAAATGTAACAATAAAAGCTATAGCAGAAAGTCAACGTCCATTTTGTCAGTTAACAGTGCAGTCCAAATTGCAATGTATGTCAGGAAATACGAAAATAATGACACTTACAACTGATATGGGAGAATGGTGATGTGTGATTATGTTGGCTAGATTAGGACAAGGCAAGACAAACCACAGTGGTTGATATTGTGAACATGTATTTAATCCATCTATGCACCATGATTGCTGATTAGACACTCCATATGTAATTGTAGTGATGCTCGTTGGGTCCCACCCGGGTCCCGCCCGATTATGTCCCTAGGCTTGCCAGCATCAGGCTCGTGCTCATTTCACCAAGTGTACATTAATATCTAACCGCGTGTAAAGCCCATTTTTCTGGTTTCCCCCGCCGTGATGTTGTTGCAATATTGCTAAAAGCGGCGTAAAACCAAACTCAGTCAGTCAGTCAGTAATAGCTAATCGCAGTGACACGTCCACGTTATTGATGAAATCACATTATTCAAACACTCAAATGAAAGGTCAGGGCTCAGACAACACATACTCATCAGGTAGTCTCAGGCAAATGTTCGTCTTGACAAATGCCAATTGATGTCTCGCACTGTAAGGTTATAACAACCATTGACCATTTCAGATGCTATAAGCACAAAGAAACGTTCGTCTTAAACAGTTATACACGATGTATACACAGGAACCTTTTGATGTGCAGGAATGATGTTTGCGATCGTACATTATATCTTCGGTTGTTGAAGACTGTTTCATGAATTTCGACGGGTAATGGCCGTAGAACACACGGCAAAGGTCACACGCTAAAATTACTGGTCAAGGCTAAGCATTTGGGCAACATGCATATGCATAAATATTCAAACAATTCGCCTCGTTCTGTTGAGGCATAGATGGCGCCTGAGACCGAGACCATATAGAACCACTTCAATATGATTTGTCGGTAGGCAATGGTTTTGTATTGTTTTGCTTACAGTGAAATTACAATGAATGTTGGCATGGCTCTTGGTCTCATGTTGGATGACACACAATCGGCCAGTGGCCCTTGAGATTGACTTCCGTAGTCCTTTGAATTCTACTACTATTGTGCATCTTAATGATAGCTATAAGCACTAAGCACATGTTCTTCTTACACGATGTATATATACGTGTCTTTGGAAGAGTATGAATGGTTTTCATGGTTTTCTCTAATGTGTGATAAGTGTTATTCCTCAAGTAATGTGGTTCATTGTCACATTACAATCTCAAATACAATCTGAACGAGGTTCGTGATTGGGGAATATTACTTCTGATCCATCAATCGTGCTTTGTGATGTTTGCATTGGTTTAGATCTTAAATCTGTCATTACCCATGTCTATGTTGTATATATCCTTCTCCTGCTGTTGATGACTTCCTCAGACAAAGAAAGACGTTGGTGCCGTCAGATAGAGACAGGGATTGAATCTGTGAGTCTGATGGTGACGTGTCAGATGATGGCGATAAAGACTGTGATGACGTCAGATGTAATTATAAGACATTTTTTTAAATCGGATGTGATAGACATGTGAAATTTCGATAGCTATTTCTTCGTTTGATACAAGTTTGGCGAAGTAATAAATGCAATTGTAATAGAGTGTCCTCTTGGTTTCAGATCATGATAACATTTCAGAAGGCAGGCGTGGACGTCAGCGAGGCCGCCATGATGTATGGGCTGCTTGCTACGTCACTTCCGGGTTTGCTGAACCCTCTGCTGTACGGTCTGCTATTGGACAGTTACAGAGAGGGATACAAGAAGATCATTCTCAAAATATGTGTGTGTTGTAGGCCCAAGGCGCCAGAGACTCAAGAACTTAAAGGTATTGTCAAAGGTTAACATATGGAAAACACATTTGGTATGACAGAACATAGTGTATCACAGTTAACTACGGATATAACGACCTCTCAGAGACATTAATCACATTTCGACTAAAATACACAGCAATTGCTCAGGACCAAAACACTTTCCGCTATATCCGTCAGTTATATGCGTGTTCGGTATAAACGTACTGTATTATATGTGTTTTGGTGGGGAAAACTGCACTAGCTCATTTTTAATGTGATCACAAGTAACTTGTTTGGTTTTGTCAAAGATGTTTATTGTACAAAAGGCCTCCGCCCATATACATTGGAGTTATACATAGTTATACATATGTTGCAATAAGTAGTAATTAGTGATCCAAGCAGCAAGTCATGTTACAGGCAGGAAATTACGTATAAGTAGTGAAATACGATGGGCCTATAAAACTTTATATCAGATTGTTACGTTTAATAAGAGCATAATTAATATAGTACGACAGCTTTATTATTTCATGATCGTCAGTTGATGAAAGAAGTAGTTTAAAAGCTAATGAAGGTTGCTTAAATAGATATTATTCAGCTATATATTTCGTACGTTATAAAAAGGACATACAAGTAAAAAATGAATTTCATTTTCCACATCGAAATTACACAGAGGGCATCTTCACTTGCATCTTTCAATATAAAAACGTCTTTCTTCGTTTACTATTATGTTGATCAAGCCTAACCTTAAACGTAGAAATGGATCTCTTAATGTCTTTGATGTTACAAACGATGGATATTTCTCCGGCTGGAGTAATGATTTGTATATTCTACAAGAGTCATACCGTGAACTATTATATATACTGAATGCCAGTCTTGATTAAACATATTAAGACTCCTTTCTCGAAACTGAGTTAAAAACCATGTTTTCTCATATAAGATGCCCACGTCACTTTAACAATGTTGTCCAAATGAACAAGCATGTTGTAAGACTTTTTAGGTAATCTATTTTCTTGCATACACAATATCTTAAACCAGAATTTTATACATCGAATATGAGCATTTATGTACAGGGGATACCTGCCACATTCACCGTATACCATACAATTCGGTGTAGATGGTCCAACATTTAAAAATATCTTACAGGCCATCAGATGTATTTTTCAGACAGACAGACAGACCGACACACACTTTATTCGGTAATATACGGCCTTATGGCCCATTTTACAGTTAATATATAATGTATATAATGTCACGTGAGCACAAATTGAAGTAATTATCTAGCAATAAATATTTGTTTTAACAATGTTGCATCTGCATGTATAACAAGAGGATTTTGTGAGTTTAATAAGTTTACCATTAACATATTGTCTTTATGGACATGTTTAATATGTGGAAGATATTTCTCTCTCATATCTTTATATTTATCACAAACTAATAATACATGAAATTCATCTTCAATAAAAACCAATTTACAGTTTGCACATTTAATTAGATCAATATCGTTCTGTTTATGTCTTCTAGAAAATTGACATTAAAATTGTGTAGGGAAAGTCTAAATTTACACGTGGCTCTTATCAAATGCTTATTTTCTAATGATGTCAAAAATTTCTCTGGTTCTACAGCTGACTTATTCGAATTATAATGACATAAACAGGATGAAGATGAAATACTATTGTGCCAGTTTTGATAATACATATCTTTTAATCTTTGTTTTAATGAAAATAGAATTAACTCATCATCATCAAAGTCTTGCGCAATGCAAACAAAAGAATACCCACAAGTAAAAAGCAAGGATCTAACATTTGAAACCCAATTACAACTGGTCTTACCATTACCATCAAGAGATTTTAATAAATTATAGCATTGATAAGGTTATCGTTGTCGTTCCATCTTTAGTAATTTACACCAGTATTTAACCACTCTTACTTGGCTGAGAATGAAAAGAGGATAACGCCCTGTATCGCCTAAAATGGCCTAATTTGTAGCAAACTCCCAACCCGTAAAAAGCGTTTAAAATAAGATGATTGGACTTTTTCTATTGCCTCATTATATTTAGTGCCCCATATCTCTGCACCATATAACAAAATCGGTGCAATTTTACCATCAAAAATAGAACATGCTGTAGAAAATGGAACATTTACAAGTTTTTGTTAAAAATGTATATACTGAAATAACAGCTTTAGATGCTTGACATGCTAATTGTTTACAAGATACTGACCATGATAATCTAGAAGATATAACTAATCCTAAATACTCATAATATGTCTTACTTTGTTAAGGAACAATGTCATATGCCCAATGTTCATGTTTAGCAATTTTGCCTCCATTTCTGAATACAATGACATTTGTTTTTTTGTAACTTGACTTCTAAACCCCATTTCTTGCAAAAGGGTGTATTTTTCTATGCATTCATATCCCCAGATCTCCATACAAAAGAATGGGTTGAATTTGACAATGAAATAGTTTAAAGTAAATACTGGGCGTCAACACACCAATTTCATACAAGGCAGATAAAAAAACTTATCAATGCTTTCTTAGCTTTCAATGATAATTCAGTAGCAGATGATTTCCAATTCATAGTGGATGTAAACTGGATACCAAGATAAGTATAATGCATGCATGCATGCATGCATTGAATGAGGTAAAGGCTGGATAAGGGAATAACCTTTGATTTTGAATCCTGACATTTTGTATATTTTTGTTCTCACAATGACAAAACCGAACAATAGTTGTCGACAGGAAGGAAATCGCCACACATAAGTTTCTTTTCTCTTTTTTATTGAAGTTCAGTTCACCGTTCAAGTGATGTGCTATAACACTGTTGCAGGTGTGGCGTCATCACGCGGGCTCTTGACGTCAGAGAGGAAGAGACTTACAAAAGTAAGCATACGTGATTATACGAACTCCCAATCCGGACCTTCCGGATCACACAATCCTATGTTTGACACGGACTCTGTCACAGAGCTGGTTGGACAACCTGACTCCGAGGATGGCTTGACATGTGACCCTGACTATGACGAATACTATGAAGACATTACCCAAGCTAACTGTGCCCAGTGTGACGTCCATGATGAGCTGTATCAGTCAGGTGGAAGACTTGTCACCAGCGAGGTCATGATGACGTCAACCGGAAGTAGTGATTCGTTCATGGATTCAGAGGACTTAGAACACCATATAATGGACGAAAGTGTAATTTAAGACACACGTCCCTATTCTGATACTGCCTGCTATATTAAAAGAATTTTGTAAAATATCAGTTTTTTTCTTTCTTAGATGTGTTTTATGGACATTGCAATTTGTTGATAATATTACTTATATTGATATAGTGGCTCCTTTGGGGGATATAGAAATCTTTTGATTTGTCATATGTAGATGGTGAAGAGTTCACCCTTTGATTATTTGAGCTAGTAAGTGAAACAGAAATTCTTTGTAAATTTGAGCAAATAAGAAAGGTTAAATTGAAACCGTTTGTTCAGTTGTCCAAAGAAGAAATAGTTCAGCCAACGAGAGATCTATTGTGACAAGATATTCAGTAATGACGCATTAAGAGATATGACGCACAGGAGATATTCTGTTACAAGGTGTCAAGTTTCTTTGTTTCAATATCCTCAGAACAAAAACCTGATTGCCATAACATATAAGGTCCCACAATAGCCTACTGAGTAGTTAAATAGCATAAGACAACAATACCTGATAACACTTGTGCTGGGTGTAAAGAGACACAAGAGGGAATAAATCAGCTTCGGTTAATTTCTCTCCGCGTCTCCTCGCTGGATCTTACGGAAGGCAGACACGAACGTCCTAGACATCTATTTACAGATGAATGCAAGGTGCATTGTACAGCATGTTTAGATCATATTTAATGTTTACACTTCGGGGATTATTCACATCGAAACAGACACTTCTCAACTCGGATTGAGGTTTGGGTAGGGTTGTCATAAACAAACATCACTGGAGTCTGCAGTTTCAATCAATGCCCCGGCCTCCAGCGTTCTGAACCTTTCCCTTCAGAGATAGAATCCAACGGCACATTCCAAATTTTATTTGGGAAGTATCACCCAGAATCATCGTCTTGTCAAATCTTAAAAAACACGTACAGATTTGATATTTTAAAATACATGTGTATGTATGTGTCAGTCCTTGTTAAGAGGCATGTTTGTGTTATTGACCTGAACAATACTTCCTCAAAAGTTCATATTAACGATAACCAGCCTTTACTTTTTCTCATGAAACAGAGGTGAAAAACCCCGTACCGACACGGCACGAATATTTAAACATTATCAAAACTGATATAAAAATTGGATTATGTACTGGACAAAAAGAAATAATATTGATATCCGTGGGAAAATTATGAACAAAAAATGACTAATTGACTTGCTCTTTGAAGAAAAAGTATTTGAAACCTTAGAATTACGACTGTTGAAATTGGAAAACAAAATATTTTCAAGGAAGTTAAGGAAGTTATTATCACATAATTCATGGAATGTTGATCACATCTAGGGCTAAATGGATTGAACATGGAGAAAACAAAATCAAATGCATTTTGTAAGTAGATTCTAGTAACTTTCTCCATGAATCCTTCATTAAATTGGAAATAAACTACGGCACTGTTATAGCCGCGAGCAAATACCAAACGTAACGAGATTTTATGGAAAGATACACACTTGAGGAAGCCACATAAATGGATTTTTTTATTATTGCAAACTTAGGCATTAATGTGCTAAATATAACTGGAACCAGAATGAATTGTAATCATGAATGATATGTAATCATTTGTGAACTATCAAAAGCCCTGAAACACATCAAAACATAAAAGTCAAAGATCGGATAGTTTTAGAAAAGTTTTAGAAGAGTTTTCACTTAAAACATCATAATGTGACTATAATCAATTTCACAGATGCACAATAGTGACTTTAAGAAAGCTTTGATTTAGTAGATAGAATATATTTAATAAATAGTTTAATAGTTTTCAATTTTAGACTAAGTATATGACTCATTAAGCTGGTGATACAATGCTTACTTTATACGGAACTAAAATATCTGCTTGTTTTGTAGTTTTACAGGTTTAGGGTGATTATTAATGAATAAAAACTGATACATGATTTGGTATCAGAAGGAGAATAAGATACACTATGTTCACATAATGGAATTTCGAATGGTCACATAGTTTACACTAAAGAGAATAAACTATGGAATTGAAAAAGACTGGAAGAAAAACCTAGCACAAATTGAAAAAACTTTATTTATTAAATATTTACGGTCATCTTGAACCTCAACACCTCTGGACAACAATACTGTTCTTAAGTCGTTCATACTTTCAAAATGGAATCATCTACTGCCCAAACAACTCTTCCATTCACTAATATAGGTGTCATTCTGATAATTAAAATGGACTCGTGAAGATCCTATATTACTCGGTATCACATATATCTATCCATGAAGGTTCGAGTTAGAATTGGTCTTCTGCAACCCATGCTTGTCGTAAGCGGCAACTAACGGAATCTGGTGGTCAGGTTACCTGACTTGGTTGACAAATGTCATCGTATCCTACTTGCGTAGATCGATGCTCATACTGTTGATCACTGGATTGTCTGGTCCAGATTATTTACAGACCGCCACAATACAGATGGAATATTGCTGAGTGCAGCGTTAAACAACAAACAAACAAACATACTTAAAATTAGGTTAGATGTTTCATCTTGAACATGGTGGAATATGTAAAACTGGAAACTAATCCGAACAAATGGTGCAACTTCAATCTTTTGAAATTGGAGTGAATGAAATACCAAGGAGGTTCACACGTTTACACGAATAGTAAACGACCTGGTACGTGAGGAGAAAGGGCAGATAACTGTCATCTTGCTGGCAGCTCTACACACGTAAGTAAACATCTGCACACTACTTTCTCAATTGAAACTATGTAAAGCTATTAGACAATTCCAGATGGGAACTAATATTAAAGTGTCAATTTACTCAATTGAAAGTTTTTAACATAACCGCACAAATACGCACTCTCCTTATTGGCTTAAATCCAGTATAGGATTATTAAAAATTTCCTCCAGAATAGACAATGCCTTGATAATACTGTATATATCGACTCATCTCGGTGGATTGTGTAACTGTACTTAATAAATCAGGAATCGGAAATAAGCTTTTATTCCGTAAAACATTATATTCCAAGTAGAATATAATAAAATTAAGTGAGATGATAAAACTAAAGTAGAGGCATCCTTTAAGTGCCACTAGTTTATTACTTTAGTAAACTATTTTAGCTGCAATACAAAGCAACACATTCAAAACATGTCCATACACTTGATCGATTTTATGGCACTACTAAATGTTATATCGTGTTGGAGATTTTTTCACAGTTCCTCGACGCTGCTATTTGTGCTATTTCGAAATTGTGATGTGTAAACTATCAGTGTCTACTTATCCTTCAAATGTAGACAATGTGGGTAGATTCCAAATAATAGTATGCACACATTTCCAAGCGCGTCCATTGTCCCAGTAATTGACGCTTTTGGGGTCTAAACCCGTTTTAGTTTTCTTGAACAGTTAAAGGTGTTTAGGGTGTAAATGTGGAAACATTGTACATGTGAATATGTTTGCACACCTGCTTTTAGTGCGTGTAATAAATATTTTAAACATGTTAAGATTATAGGATGTCTTCATCGTTAGCACGTTTAAACATGCAAAGTAGAGACAATTAACACCAAACGTGTATCAATTAATACTGTAGAACCCCTAAATGTGGTATCCATTTAGGATTTGAACACATTCCTAAACAGTTTTAGAACGAAACCTGTTCGAATCATGTAGTACTTTCTAAACACATTTTACAGTGTTCACATGTTGAAGAACGGTTATATAGGAGTATTTATAGTTGTTGCAGCAACGTCAGCAGCGGGAGGAGTAGTAGTAGTAGTAGTAGTAGTAGTAGTAGTAGTAGTAGTAGTAGTAAAAGTAAACTATGGTCTCTATAGCAATACGCACACCATGCACCGTGTTCTTTTTGTGTAATAGTAAAATGTCATTCTCTTGAAACTGTCCACTGATCACAATCAGAAGACTGACAGCCTAAAATGCTCAATGGGCACTAAGGGTGAGTCCGGCTTATTGACAAAAGGATTGTCTGTATATAACACCAAAGAAAACCACATGCAGCAAAATGTCAAGATAGAGAGAGAGGGGGGGGGGAGAGAGAGAGAGATAGAGATCTTTGTCCCAACCCTCAGTACAGCGACAATATAACCTTTGTATCTTCCAACCAATGCCCATCTCAGTTAGCTATTCCGACAAGCATCGTGTATTATTAGGGACATAGTTTCAGTTTAGTAAAAAAAATAAATCCCCCAATCATGCACTCTTTGTGTGTAGGATAATATATGATTGCTTCGTTCGCTGGTGTATATCTGAACTGTAGCTAAACATGACCAGCATGTTACATGTCACTGCAAAACATCCAAACGTAGATTAGACTGGAGCAAGAAGGTCTGGTGATCAACGAAGAATACAAGTGACAGGTTCAATTACAGCCATGATATGAATGCTTTCCGGGCTGCCAGATCGATGAGGTATAATTGATTGATGACTGATTCTGTTGTGTGCATGCTTCCTGAGGGGCACATTCTGACACCGGTTGCATATGAATTGCAGGGAATTTCTGTCGTAATCACCACCTCTATCACTGAAGAAAGGGCAATAGCATCTTTCTATTCAACCGCAAATTTATCGCACAATTTCATTCTGGGAATGTAAGTGATTTGCGAGATACTTTGATGCGGTTCCTTGCCGATGTTTTGCATTAACAAGTGTTATCAACCGACTTCGTGATATCACTTCCAGGAACTGTTGTCCTTTGGACGAGCTGAACGTCAAATGCAGCAAAATAGGACGCAACTAATTTGAAATGGCCTTTAGGTCGAAACAGAGAATATGAAAAGAGGCAGTCACGTACATCAGAAGTTTGTCCGAGTAAAAAAATAAAAGAATGTTTCTGATCAAATTAAAGGTCATTGCAAACCCTCTTTATGGTGATCGATAATGTTTAGTTTTGTCTGCTTAAGCGATTGATTTTTAACAAACATTACAATATCTATGTTGAACTAAGGGCCCTTTTCCACTCAGTTTTGAATGAATACATAATTTCGAATGTTTACTACAATCTCGACTTTTAAGAGGCAAACGCTCTCGAAAGATTTTAAGCTTGTTCAGTACAATATGTTTCGCTTTTCATAAAAATATTATTTGCAAGGACACAACATAGTCTTCAATACCCATTGTCAATAATAAGAATACGATCATTGCATGACGAAAGATAATAAACCATAACGAACCGCTCAAACGAACATAAAATATTTACCAACTGCAACATACTCGTAATATAGGGTGCTGTCTACCAAGCCTCGAAAGCGAACAGGTATATTTCTAAAGTATATATTCCAAGAGGGCATCAACACGTGATCTGGATCATAGATGAAAGAATGCGACAAACGCGAGAGTCCATCAGATGTCCTCCATACACTCTCCAATCGGATATCCTTCAATAGTTCATACTGACACAAAGCCGCAACTGTA